TATATTAATTGTATCCTCATGAAGATATGACTCCTGCTTAATATATCTTGGTTAGAACTATTGTATCTTAAGTACTGCTATTTCTGAGCTATATGATATATTTATAATAAAATATCTTCAACTATTTCTAGTTTTTTTTTAATAATTGAAAAATTTCTAAATTCTAAGAGTACAACATCTATGTAGTCAATATTATAACTCAAGTTAGCTTCCTAGCTCTATTGGAGCTTGGTATATTATTCTTGAGTAAATGTAGCAAAGTAACCATACTTGAACCCCTCAGTAAAACTGAGAGTTTAACAAATACTAAAACAAAATATCACTACCTCCTATCAATTGAAAATCTTGGTTGCAGAAACAATTAAGTAGTGTTCAGGAGTCAGGTATCAGAGACAAGACTACTGAATACCAAAAAATAATATGATTTATAATTTGAGTACTTGCGGGAGAACATTAGATGTCAGGTAAGAAGAAAAGAGACTCTGGATTAGAGAGAGAGCAATTCAGGTAGTATTAGAAATTTCTATTCAATCTATCTAGCAGCAAAGTAAACAGAATATACCAGGCAATCTATATTTAAAGATGTGAGTCAATAGAGCTACAAGATATATATATACTCCTTAATAAATAGCAAGAAATTGGAGTTACATATTTTCAAATACTATACTATTTTCAAACCTATAGCTTGAACTGAAAAGAGTGCAGATCTAATTTTTTTCACTTGAGATCTAGGCAATACCTATCTCTACTTGTACCCAGGCAAAAAGAACTGCTAGAATTCTACTTTTAGTTCTTGTTCTCTATCATATAATAAATAAATCATGACATATTACTGATGGGCCTCTCTAGTAGAGATTGTTTGACTAGGATTTTTTATTTTATAAATGTACAAATTGAGCCAATTTCACTAACTCTTTTAAAAATAAACATGTTTGAACTAGTTGTGGAGTGGTGGTTGTCAATTTTCTTGCCTTTAAAGCTATAATGAGGGTGACACATAACTAGGTGGTGACCCATAACACCCCCAAATATGTTAAGTATTAACCAAGTGACATCACACAGCATGATACCGCATAACCTCCAATCCTAAAGAATTTCCAACGAAATAATCCCTCCAACCCCGACATCCCAAAAAAAAAAAAAAAAAAATTTAGTTCCCATACCCACACGCATTCACTATCACCAGGAAAATTTGTGAGCTCTAGCGAGTGAAGGGCACGGCACGGCACCGGTGACATGATTTAATCAACCATCAGACGTCTTCGCCGATGACTAACTAAATTAGATAGCCAAGTTAACTGACAAACCGAGTTTAACACAATACACTACACTACACTCCGAGCGGAAATATGCTATTGGGGTGGCACGGGTGCAAGGGACTATGATATTACCGCCCGGGCGCAGGGTCGGGAACGGGTGGACGGCCATCGCAGTGCCATACCACACTAGGCTTAGGAAATTCTAGGCTGGAATCCCCCTCCCATACCACCACCCCCCAGAGAGACGAGGAACAAGCGACGACACTTGGCTCTGCGGTCCCGAGCCTAGACTATCCCCCACCACCGTCGGTTCAACAATGGCACTTGTGCTGTTCTCGAGTGCACCCCCTTACTCCCACCGAGTGGGTTGAGCTCAACTACCGGTACCCGTGAAAAGCTAATAATATGAATGGCCAGCTGCGCACCAGCCTACCGTACTAAATCGCTTCCGTACTCGGGCACCGTGCCTGTGCTCGAGTACACCATTCTCATTCGCATTTCAATACCGATTCCTTCTTCGGCCTCTGATATGATATTATTACACAACGAAAGGACAACTGCCGTACAATTCCAAACAATCCAAAGCATGCAAAAATGGAAAAGAGGAAAATAATAAAGCACCCCGATATAATAAGCGTACAGTACACAAGTTAAACTTGTTCGTCTATGGAAACACCCCGTCCACGGCTTTGCCGATCCTGATCCCGCCCGAGCCCATCCTTCTAGTCTGATAAAAAAAATACCATAGACAGACAAATCCGGCAGTGAAAATAAGGAAAAGGGTTGTTAAGTCTGAAAAAATGTTAAAACGAACAAAGAGGAAGGAAGAAAGGTTGCACGGTAATATCTCCCGCATGGAAAAAGAAAAGAAAAAGAGACCAAGTTTATCACCATATCTCGGTCAGGCCAATCATAAACTTGTATTGTCAGCTCATTCGCTGAAGGGTTCGGTTGATGATGATGATGTTCCCGTTTTTGTTTTTTCTACAATTGGTTGCCAAGTACAAATTCGAAACCAGAAGTACTGGGAGGAGACCAATCCCCTTCGCGCGCGTGCTGTGACATGGCGTGGTGTTCCTGGATACGATCTATTACCTGTACGTTTGAGAACCATTCCTGTGAGAGGACAAAGTTTAGCTCGTCCGATAAATGCCTATTGTATGATTAGTTTTTGTCGATAACCTCTGTCATGCATTGAAGGAGAAGGAGGAGGAGGAGGAAGGTAATTAATGAATCCGGGACAATATAATCCCAGGACGAGACGAGGCAAGACAAATTCAAGACACAATTTTGCGGAGGTTAATTATTGAGATGAAAAGTGTCGAAAAGCCTTCCTCAAAAAGATAGTCATCAAACTCACGTAATAGTCTTTGCCCTCTTGGAGGAGTAGCAGTGCTTGTCGGAGGAATTGTCGCCATGGGAATGGTGGTGGATGGTTCCCTCATCAGCGGTTTCCACGTCACCGATCTGTCTCCAATTTCTCTTTCTCTTTGTGATGACACGGCGGTCGGCCGCAGGCGATCCCACTGGTGAGGTGCTTGCGATTAATTCGGGAACTAGGTCGTCTCCCTCGGTCGGGATGGAAAGGCACTTTCTCCTGCAAAACGCATCGTGGATCAGTCAACTGAACCCATCCAGCGAAAGAAGAAGAAAGGAAAATCAAGCACGGTATCCTTTTCCTTTCTTCTCCAATGAGAGGAAAGGAAAGGAAGAAAAAGAAAAATGAACAAATCTGAATCTAGTAACCGGGGTTTGAAGGGGAAAAAAGCAAATAACCACGGACAGCTGCATGTTGCTCTTGATCCAACGGCTACTCCTCTTACGGCCTCGAGAACATCTTGTGCCGCGGATGCTGCTATGTGTGTGGAAGGGAATGGGATAGATGAACGATATATGCATGATATGCATTACCTGATGCTTCTACTGTTGTCATCGAAGACCCCTCCACCCAGACCCAGAAGGCTATGCTCGCAATCAGAGTCGTAGCATCCCGGCTCCAAGTCGATAGCCTCTGGTCGTCCATGAATGACATCTTGGTACTTGTTCCTGCATTCCAAGACGCTTCTCCCGCGAAACAAACCGGCAATCTGGCACCATCCCTGCCAATAGAGAAAAAAAGGAAAAAAGAACCGGGTCAGCGCTACCGTACTAATACCTAACTTGACAGACCGAAAGACAAAAAAAAAACCCTCCAAAGGAAATCATAGGACTGTTTGCAACAAAACTTTGCCCAGGAGATGGGGAAAATCTCGTCCACTCCCCACCACCACCAACCCAGCAGGAGTTCGCGAGGAACAGGGCAAACTATGCATCAAAGCAAAGTAGAAGAAAATAAAAACGGGTCGAGTGCAATTGACTCACCAGTTTCACGCCACTTCTGCAAACGGATACCAGTAGATTAATTTCCTGTGTCGTCCAGGGCACCGAGCGACCCGGCGTTGGCGGGGGTGCACTGGGAGGGGTTGGGGGGTCACTCCGAGAATACTCCGAGTATATCCCGGCCCTGCATCCTTGCGGTGATGGTGGGGGAGCACTAGGTGGAGTCGGTGGATCACACTTCGAAAGGCCTCTATGCGTGGCTCTGCGAGCTCCTGTGGGAGTCGGCGGTGGAGCACTGGGAGGTGTAGGAGGATCTTCACGGGATAATGAGCTGAAAATGTCGGAATCCTCCACCACCACCCCGTGGGCTCTCCGGGCTGGGGTTGGTGGGGGCCCTCTGGGCGGAGTCGGGGGATCACGCCGGGAAAGCGAGTCGGGCGCTCTAAAGCTAACCTCTCTACGCCCCGGGGTTGGCGGAGGACCGCGCGGTGGAGTCGGAGGGTCAGCCTTGGACAGCTCATTGTGTGGCCTGCGTTTGGGTGTGGGTGGTGGACCACGCGGAGGGGTTGGAGGATCAGATCTGGAAAGGGAGCCGATGCCAGGTGTAATGCTCAGGTGTGGTTGCGCTGGTGGTATCTTTGGTTCGATGCTTCGGAAGCTCGGATTGGAAGCCGGCGTTGGCTGTGGAGCTGGAGCTGGTGCGGGAGCCATTGGAAATGCTGACTTTTGCTTGGGTGATGAGGGGTGAAATGTGATTGGCTTGAGCAATGCCATTGCGATGAATATAGGCTGAGAGCGATGGGTGGGATGGAGAAGATATTGAAGGGATGGAGGTGAATAAATGAACAAGTGAGCTCCCTTTATATGCAGCAGTTTAGTTCGAAGGCTGAGAAGGCTAATCCACCAAGATAGCTGATACTAGCAGTGTCCCGCTAAGGCTGCAGATAAGCTGGTCAGACGTGGTGGTTGCCGAAGTGGTGGGGAGCCAGTATCGCAGGCCGGAGGCGAGGATATGAATGTATTCGCCTGCACTATCTCCTTAATTCCGCGCACTATATACGCCTGCAAAGATTGCGTACTGCTATCCGAGCCCGGATCTGTATACTATCTGTCTGTGCTTGTAGATACGCAGTCCGAAGAGGTAACAGCGGGACAGAGTATAAGGTGAGCTCTGTAGATTTCAGAACAAGTAGTGAAGAGTAACCAGCAAGGTCAAACCCCAACAACGCAGGAGGGCGGAGGATGTTTGAAGTGAGTGATTAAATAGATGGGGGGAAGAGAAAAAAAAGAGTGAGAGTGTGTGCGTGCGAGTTGATCTGAGAGTGGTGGAGAGGAGGAGAAAAAAGGAAGCGGATGGAACCTGTTAAGTATTTGACCACAGAAAGATTATCACGCACTTTGCCTCGAGGACCAATGATGTTCTCCATTCGGTAGTTTTTCTCATTCCCTCATCGTCTTCCCTCTTCTATTCTACCCATCCTCTAAACCTCCCCCTCCATTCAGGGTAAAAAAAAAATTGGAATATTTTTTTTCCCTTGCCCTCCACATCCGGGCCACTCTCCTCCCCTAGACTTGTATCATTTTTCTTCCCATTGATGCAATTTTCCGCGATCAATCGCCCGTATCGAAAACGGCGGCAGCGGTCCATGCTGTGCAAGAGGTGAAGGAGCGCAAAAAAACGTTTCGTGCAGAGGCCCACTCTCGAACGGGGTCCCATTCACTTCCTAGCATCACCACCTGGTCCTTGTCCGGTTAGAGGACCCTGCAAGTCCGCCTACTTACCTTCGACCGTATGTTGCTTTGCTATGCCCTTTGTGTGCTTGCTGTTTGCAGCTCGGTGGGGCCGTGATTTGATTCGCTGTTGTCTTTCGAGGCATTGCCCTGGTTCTGAGTCTGCTATCATTAGAGGTTTGTCACTTTCCTGGCTTGCAGCTACCGCAATAGCTCTGAGTGATATGCATAACCCTCCTCTCCAATCCAACCCGGAATTGAATATGGACGGACAGGCAGGGAGTGGAAAAGAAGAAAAGAGAGGGGAAAAAAATAAAAAACACAGATAGCGAAGAGCAAGTTACAGGCTACCGCTGAACGAGCCATCTGCGGTCCATCCACCATCGGACCTTTTCCAGTCATTCACTGACCTAATAATGGCCTCCCATTATCTGGCAGGAGGTGAAAAGTTCCACCGCCAGAGAATTCACCCACCACCCCCTTTCCTAGTCTCGGAGCATTGGACCCCTTGTTCCTAATAACAATTTCACGATTTTTTATCTCAACCCACCAAGGTCCAAAAAAAACATCCACTCCCATCTCAATTGCCACAGCCGAAATCAAAAGAAAAACAGGAAAGCCGCTAATCAAGTGTCCCCTAGCTTCCTTCCTCCTCTCCTGTGGACTACATGCCCAGATACATCCGGTACCACTACCGACTACGGTGCTCCCTACGGAAGCGGGTATGCACCACCGAATACTGTACAATCCTCTCCATACACGCACACACACACACACAAAAAAATAAAAAGAGCCAGTCAGCCAGCATCCCCAACCGTATCCCCGGAAGAGGATGGGAAACTCCACAGAACCGTACTCGCCCTTGGCCAAGCGCCTGTATCCAGGGTCCGAGTTACAAGTACTTTTGGTGGCTGGTGGCTGAATCTAAGACATTCCATGGCATTTCCAGACCACCTTTTTTTTTTTCTCCGGTTACCAAGGGGACATGATCGGATGAAGGAATCCGGGGGCGGGCTGCAGACGGTCCAGTGTTTGCTCCCTATCGAAAGGGAAATTTACCATTGCGGAAGCTAGGTCGAGGTGAAATTTCCCAGCGGAACCCGTTACGGGAAATGCACAGTACCGTGCAGGAGATGTTTACTTTTGCCGTGGCTGACTCGTGGGAAGCCAGGCTGCTGGAACCGTGGTACAGGCTAGAGGGGTGTCTGGTAATATGATGAACATTCCCGAGGTATAGCATAGAAGGATGGGTAGGGTATGCGTATGCCTGTGATGAGTGATGTGTGCGAATGGGTGTGGGTGGGCTGGGCGAAAGTTGCCCTAGCGGGTACGGTACGCTAACTTTGCTGGCCTGGCCGGGTCGGGAAGTGAAGCCTTTTTTTTTTTGTTTGTTGAGATCTGGGTTCTTTCCGAGTTCGACTTTCTTTCTTTCCTTACTTTTCCAGCTCCTATTAATCGAGTGGTGGTATGGGTGTGTGTAGGCCTTTCGATATTTGGACACTCTGGAGTCTTTCTCTCCCCCCTTCTCTATATCCCTGGTGTATCTACAGCAGAAAAGGCGAGTGATATCTTGCATATTTCCTACCCATTCTCGTCCGGAATATAGCATTCATAATAATTATTGTATGATAGTAAACAATTGAGCAATACGAAAACAAACTCCCGAAGACATCCCAAAGTGGAGCCCATAAGTCAACTGGATCTACCGCATCAATCAACCCTTTCAATGGCAAAAAATAGGTAAATACCCCAAACTCCGACCCCACCCCCCCTCGAAAAAAGGAAGAAAATATCCTACTTATCCCGAACCCGGGAACCAGGACAAGACAGAATCAAGCAAACAAAAGGACTCGCATAGAAACTCCGCATCAGGAATTCTTCCCCCCATGGGAAGGTGACTTTACCGAAAACCTTGCTGTTCTGTGATAGCTGGTACCGGTACTTGAACACTTTGACCCTCCGCTGCACTCGTACTTCTCAGATTTACGGTACCGGTACCGGTGCCGTATGTGATGAATTCTTACTTACCCATATCCTTCCTTCCTAAAGCTAGAAAGGGAAGGCTGTTGCGAACCTGTTGAGGACTGAGTTGGACTGGGGGGGTCTTAACCTTAGGTTGTGATGGTGAGGACTTGGCAGGCACGCGAGCGAGAGAGCTACATAACGGTAGGATAGGCATCCGTGCCCTCCCCCCATTTCTCTTCTTACCGGTATTCCTCTTACGATACCGGTACGGTAGTAGGGTGGTTTGTCTACGGCACTACGATACTGTACCAGTGCGCTTAAATCCGCGCGAGACAGTTAATGTCATCCCAACCCTTTTTTTCGCTCTGCGCTTTTCGCCTTTCGCCTCTCTCCGCCCCGGTGGCGGCGGTGGTACTAGTATTGGGTGGCAGTAATAGCAATAAGCAATAGTTGTACCTGGTACAGAGCGCGCCGGTGGCGTAAAGAAAGAAGGAGCGAGAGAAGCAGAAGATGTTCCCATCGGCAAGAACAGCGGGGAATGCGCTTTCCATGTCTCTCCCTCGCCGCTGGGTTGAGTTACCCGGGGAAGCCAGCACGTCCTGTCCCCCATCTGCCGAAGATTCCTCTTACGGTTGCCAATGCTGTACAGTACCATACTCACTATCTTGTGGGATACGCGGTGAAATGAGTGCACGCAAGTTCCGGTCCCCCGCAACTATGTGCCAGGTATTCCCCTTACCTCCTTTCCTCACTCAGTTATCCTGACGCCTTTCCTTTCTCTCGTATTGCTGATGTTGCATCATGACTGCTCTTCCTTGCGACCCTGATACCCTCTGTTCTTGATACTGCACGGCGAATCACCACCACGTGCATAATTGGTCCATCCCACTGCCCACCCTGTGGTTGGGTAGGTTTCGGAAGGGGTGGGCTGTGATAGGGTGGTCTCGGCGGGCGAGGTTTACCTTGGCCACTTCACATCACTTGACGGTGGGTAGGGCGATAGGGTAAGGGTTTCCGCATAATTTGAATAAAGAAGCCATGTCGGGCGATTAATACAACGCATCATGTTGGGAAGGGGTTCTAGAACGGCTGGATTGTTCCTTTGGGAAGGCTTGTGTGCGATGGCTCTCTTCCCTTCTGCTGCATATGTGTACTTGTAGGATGGAGGTAGCATTGGAGAGGAGGGGTGCCGGGGGGTGGGAGATGGAAGGAGGGAATCCAGGCGATTCTAGAAGCCAACAGCTTGCTCGCGGTAGGGTACAGGAGACCAGGTATCCTACAGCGTCCATTCGGGATATAAAACGTGCACCGCCTCCACGCTCCTATCACGTGAATTACCGTAAGTCACTCAACCGCCCGAATGATGACGGAATAATCCTAGTGCTGGCAGTGACATATGATTGCCATCGTGCAGATGATCACGTTGGCTGCCCGGCGCGCTGCTGAGTTGGGTTGAGCCGACCGGAGTTCTCGAAAAGCTTTTTTTTTCCCCTTTCTCCTCATCCCCGGTTGACCAATTCCGCACTATCACGTTATTGTTATTGTTATATTTATTATTATCGTTATTATTATTATTACTTATTCAACCCTGTGCAGCTGCCGTCATCAAGATACCATACCGGTATCCCACTCCTCCCCGCCCACCTGGGGTCTTGGTCAGTTGGTGGGGGAGGCTTACCTGCCGCCACGACGCGCCCGCACTGTTGTTACCGGTGCTTGACACGGGCCGTGCCGTGGGGTTAGGATACGATACCAGACCATCACCAGCTCTGCAGAGTGTGGCTCGGTAGACCCTATCATGGTTACATCTTTCGATGGGGGTGCGATCTTGTGCTGCGCGGGGGCCAGGAGGGGGATATCGTATTTACACTTTTCCACACAACACTCGACCCCGGCCCACCTGATTGGCTACGTCCCAGCGAGAAACAAGCAGGACTCTGTGAAACATTTGGGGGGGTGCTTTAAGCGAATGGTTTAGCGAGCTCTGTTTATCTGTTTATTTATCTACTTATTTATATATATCAATTTGTCTTTTTTTTTTTTTTCCTCCCGCTTGCACTTTTTTCGCCTTTTTTTTT